CCCTAAAGCCTAAACCCTAAACGTTATACGTAAGAGTGTAGGGGCTCGAAGGCAACAGGATTCGCAATGTCGCGAGCATTCCGACCCCCCATCTCAACGGGGCTTTCTGAGGCGTTAGCCTATGGCTTCGTGTTCAGCTTAAGGTTCAGTTTTAGGGTTTAGGGTTTAGGGTTTAGGGTTTAGGGTTTAGGTTCAGCGCTTGGGATCGGAGCTTCCTCGGCTTAGGGTTCGAAGGTTAGGATTAAGGGTTGAGGGTCTAGGGTCTAAGGGCCAGGATTTACCGTTTCGGGTTTAGAGTCTAAGGGCCAGAATTTAGAGTTGAGGGTTTAGGGTTTAAGGGCTAGGATTTAGGGTTGAGGGTTTGGGGTCTCTGAACCTTGCGACTACTAAAAAGCAACCCCTCAAGCTAGCCCTTACAGCATACTAACCGGTATAGTAGCTCAAGATTTAGGGTTTAGGGGCTTTTGCAGCCCCCGTCATAGCTCTTGTAGCAAACCAGAACCCTTAAAAGGCTTAGGGTTTAGGGGTTTAGGGGTTTAGGGTTTAGGGGTTAGGGTTTAGGGTTTAAAGAACCCGATAAGGCCTCATAAGACACTTCGAGAACCTTCTTGGCAGCAACCTACTAGAACCTAAGCCCTAAACCCCTAAACCCAAAAGCCGCAACCCTAAACCCCCAAACCCTAAACCCCTAAACCCCTAAACCCTCAAGCCCTAAACCCCTAAACCCTAAAACCCTAAACCCCTAAACCCCTAAACCCTAGATCCTAAGCCCTAAACCCCTGAAGCCTAAGCCCTGAAACCCTGAACCCCAAGCCCCCAACCTTCAACTCAAAACCCCTAAGCCCGAACCCTCAGGGCTAGGGTTTAGGGTTTAGGGCATAGGGTTTAGGGTTTAGGGTTGAGGGTTCAGGGTTCAGGGTTTAGGGTTTAGGGTTCAGGCTTCAGGGTTTAGGATTTAGGGTTTAGGGTTTAGGGCTTGCGGGCCTAAGCTCGAACCCCATAAACCCTAAACCCAACAAGTGTACCTCGTAGGTCGGTGGTTGTGGGGCTTCCGCCCGTCTCCTTGCAGCGAGATTTCTTCAGGGACTGAAGGAATTGAGGGCTCTAGTGTTTTGGGTTTTTTGTGGGTTTTAGGGCTGAGGGTCTTGGGCTTAGGGTTGTAGGGTTTGTTGGTTTAGGAATTTGGGGCTTCAGGGCTTTAGGGGGGGCGGGCCGTAAGGATGTGGGGACTGGGGCTTCGAGTTTAGGATGCTTTCAGGCTTAGCACGTAAAGCCTGTTTAGGAGCTCAGGTTTAGGGTTTAGGGGTTTGGGGCTTATAGTTAGGGGTTTAGGGTTTAGGGTTTAGGGGTCTAGGGGTCTAGGGGTTTGGGGTTTAGGGGTTTTGGGTTTAGGGGTTTAGGGTTTATTTAGGGTTTAATGTTTTAGGGATTACAGGCACGAATGTTGCACAAAACCCCACACCGTCCTCGTCAGTTATGTTGCCTCCCAAATGCTGGCGCCTTAAGCCCAACACGGTAAAGCCTGTATAGGTCGAAACAAAAGCCTCGAGTGTAGTAGTTCCGCCTTGGTGGCTGACCCTAAAACCTAAAACCCTAAACCTTTCTGTCAGAATGTATTCTTAAACCTTAACGGTAGTCGTCGGCAATGGCGATTTCGGGTGCTTCTAGCCATTGCCGGCGAAGACATCGCCATTGCCGACGCAAGTCTTTATGAACAGGTATCTCTTCTGGACCATAAAGGAAATTACAAAACCCTAAACCCCAAGCCCTAAACCCTATGAAGTTTCCCCAGGTGCCACCTAGCTCAAATCTCCAACCGACTAGGCCAACCTGCTTGGAGGCTCAAGGGACTTGGCAAGTAGGGCTCTTAAGGGCTCTACGGGAGGGGGGGGGCTTTCTATTCTTGTAGCTTGGGGACGCAGAATGTAAGGTGAGAAGTACCTCAAATGATCTTACAAGTAATTATAAGGATAGTTCTTTTACTTGTAGCCCTAGTTACTAAGTCCCATGAGCCCTTGAGAAAGCTTCAAACACCAAACAAAAA